GTGGCAGTACTACCCTGGACGAACTCACAAGGAGCTCTACTGCTACTAGTGATTTTTGAATATGATTTTCGGAACGAAAATGGCTCAAATGCTAATCCGTCAGTGGCAGCGTGTTGTCTTTGCAAATGCAGATTCAACAATAAATGCGGCGTTAATATCTCGACGCGGGAGTAGAATTTTTAAACTGAAAGAACAAAATGAAAGGGACCTTTATGAATCACTGCTATTCGAGCTTTAATTGCACAATTTCATCTTCACCACAGTGTGACTAATGTAACAAAATATTTTTTTAAGATGGTTTTACGGTATAAACTCATTTTTAAATTTTTTGATTTGGGTCACTTTCATTGTAAGGGTGCGAAGTATTAGTCGGATGATTGCGTCATATTGCGTCATGCGTTAGAAGAAACATACCGACTGATTCGCTAGCTGCCATGCGTTAGAACAGTACCGGCGGATAGACAGAGACAAATTTCATTCATTAAAATACAATAGATGAATGCGTATTATTACATATGATATGGTAAAAAGAAAAGAGATAACTTTAAATATGTGTTTTTTAGAGGACATTAGTTTTATTAATGGATATTAAATGGAAATTTGTGTATTTTGTATGTTTGAAGATATGAAGTTAACGAAATCATATTACGTTATTATGTACTAAGTTTTAAATAATAGTTTTATTATGAAGTAGTGTATTTTGGCAAAGTAATCGATAATATTTATTTTTCATTAAATGTTCACACGCATATTACATTAATAAAATAATAATAAATTTAGTAAATTATAACATAGTAATAAGAATATGGCATTAAGTACTTTATCATTTACAATAACATGCCTGAATTTCACAATTTTTTCAAGTTACGTAATTTGGTTGTATTATGATACTCAATAGAGATGTGATGTGACTATTTATTTTCGTTAAATGACATCAGCTGATCGCAACTGTTCATGGCGAAATTTCCATAAATAACGTAGTGTGTACTAAAACAACTTTGCTAACTAGTTTCATACCATTAACTGAATCCGACCTTCAAATATGACCACACCTTTCTGTTACACCCTGTATAGTATCGATGAAGGCCATAACATTGTTTCAAATAAATTGAAAATCCTATATCGTCATTAGACTGCGAAAGTAGAAAAATCTGAAATTAAAAATATATTTGATATTTAAATATAGCAGCGATAGCAGCGCAGGAATTTTATATACGTTACACGTTTGAACTATTCCAATCTACTAAGACAGCGAAATTAGTACAATTTGAATTTCAGGTTCAGCGAAACGCAGCAGACTTAAATATCTAAATATATACTCTTCGTTATTATTCTAATGTGAAACGCAAGCACTCGCCCAGTTTCCTGTGATGACGTCACTTGTCGCCACCGCCGCGTGAACACAGCTAAGGAATACACGTTGTTGCTGCAATAAAATCTTTCTAATTTGCAGTTATGGGTTTATTCATGGTTCATTCCTCGCTTCTGTTATAAAATCAGAAACAATAAATAAGCTTTGAGGTTCAAACTAATTCCAATAAAGGTAAGTACTTACGTTAGATTTAAAATAGACTCATTATTCAATGCACTGAACAATAAATACAGCACAATTAATACAACAAATTTTAATACAGTACACAAAAAATAAACGGCCATCGTGGTCAAACGGTTATCATCATGGACTGCCACCCAGAGGTTCGGAGTTCGATTCCCGGGCTGGGAGAAATATTTGTATGCCTTAACATTTATTTCTCTCGTGACTTTGGTTGCAATTTGTGGTTGTCTACCTATGTATGTGTCCATGGCACCTGTTGATACAGTTTCCCTAGTGTGGGGCTATAATGTTAAAAAAAGCAATTGTTTTTTACTTCCATGATTCAATGACACATATTTTATAGGTAGTTTATTTATAAGCATCTGGAATATAAAGAAACGTATAGTAAGAGTCGAGAAATAAAAAATCCACTGAATCAGCGACAATGTTGATAAAACGGGAACAATGCACACTCGGCGCTCAGAACGAGGTGTGTTACTTTTCAGTTTGTTACGCAACATACGTATGTTTCCCCTCACATATATTTGTTATAGTAACACATTTTTGAAGATAGTGTTGTTTTCTGAAGATGAAGGGGCTGATATGATATAGTCGCCTTTACGACAAACGGACTCTTAATTTCTGAAGATATTCTAAAATAAAACGATTTTCCAATAAATGCTCTTGACTTCTTCGCCCTTTCTACAAAACAACTAATTATATCTTTTAAATTTTAATTTAGCATTAATTTTAAAATAAAATAGTAAATGTTTGCTAAATGAGATTTTCTAAACCACGCTTTCTTAATTCCATAGGAAACATTTGACAGGCGTCGCTGTCAAACGTGGAAAAAAGGCAAAGTATTCAAACACATTTGTTTTTCTATTAAAAATATAAGTTTTTAAAAATGGAAAATCTTACGTAACCACTATGTGCAAATTTTACACAAAATTAGTCATTTTTGTATAGACTCCATCCAATGATCATCAATTTCTTTTAATATTTTCTGCCTAACAAATCAAGAAATAATTTAAAAAACTCCTCAATTAAGAGAAAATTATTATTATTATTATTAACCCTCATCTGAGAAGAGACCCGTGCCCAGCTGTGGGACGTATAAATGGGTTAATGATGATAATGATGATATACGTTATTTTATAATCAGAAGATAAAATGAAAACAAAACAAATTTGACATAACAAGTATATAAAAAACATCTTATTTATACTTAACATAACTTCCATATTATCTATTTTAATCATTGATTTTAATTAAATATTTAGTACATAGTAGGTCATAAAGTCAAACGTAGGATTAAAGCCACTTCAAAAGGCCAATCAGCTTTACATCTTTTTCAGATAATCTTCCTTCGTTCCACTTTACTCGTAACCTGAGAATAATAAAAGCACATAATTTTAATTCAGGGCCACTAAATACGTAAACAATATTTAAAAAGTAATTACAACATTTGAAAATGGAAGTCTTTGGCTGTAGAATACAGTTTGTTTAATCTGACTATCGCTTGTTTTTACATTGTGGTGTCATTTTAGAAATTGGTAGTCTACATCACCATGGATTTAACTCGTGAAAATTTTCGTAGTATGATTTTCTACGACTTTAAGTGTAATTTAACAGCACAACGGAGCTTCGCTCGGCTTCAAACTGCTTTTGGCGATTAAGCACCAGGCAAGACTATTTATAACTGGTTTGCAGAAGTCAAACGCGGTCGTGTGAATCTCAGTGACGAATTTCGTCTGTGAACAACAAAAATATCGATGCTGTGTGCCGTATGATCAACACAGACAGGCATGTGACATACCATGAGATTCGGGCATCTTTAGGCATAGGCATGAGTCAAATACAATCAATACTACACAAACATTTGGGTGTGAAAAAACTGTGCTCTCGGTGGATCCCACACAATTTGACTGAGGCTCAAAAAACGGATCGCGTCACTTGGTGCAATGCCATGCTTACCAGATTCAATGAAGGGGCGTCAAATTTGATGTGGGACATAGTAACAGGTGATGAAACATGGATTTATAGTTACGATCCCAAAACAAAAAAGCAATCTAGCGTATGGGTTTTTCGAAATGAGCCGAAACCAACCAAAGTGGCGCGCATGCAAAGTGCCTCTAAGCGAATGATTGCTTCTTTTTTAATAAAACTGGACACGTGGCTACTGTTGCTTTAGAGAATCGTTGTACCGTGAATAGTGATTGGTACACTACCATTTGTTTTGTCTGAAGTTATTGACAAACTCCGTAAAAATAACCGTAAACGCCGTATCATCTTGGACCATGATAATGCGAGAACTGGCATTACACGGCCAGAGAGACAAATGAATTTTTGAAGGTGAACAACGTTGACCTTATGAGCCATCCCGCGTACAGTCCCGACCTGGCACCTTGTGACTTTTATTTATTTCCAAAAATTAAGAACCAGTTAAGCGGTTAACGATTTTCATCACCTGAAGAGGCTGTCGAAGAGTATGAAAAATATGTTTCAGAGATTGTCACGGAGGAGTGGCATAAATGTTTTCAAAATTCCTTCATTCGTATGCAAAAGTGCATTAACACTAACGGAGAATATTTTGAGAAACAATTAATTTCTGAACATTTATAGTTGACGGGGCCAAAATGGGGTAGGGTGAACGCACTGACTGACCTTGAGTTGTTCCTCGATAGATGTGTCGGTCGCTGGTGTTTACGCGTATGCCCAGGTGTTAAGGGGTTGTCTCGCCGCCCACTCTGGTCTCTCACAGACAGATGAGATGCTAAGATGATTTTCCGTATTGCTGATTTTCCGTACTGCCGTTGGACAACTGCTACGGTGATATCGCGTCAAAAGCGACCGTTCGCTAGCGCGGCGTAGTTGCAACAGGGCCCGTCAAAACGGGGAATATCCTACCCTCAAATCAGTGCGTTTTTTAGGATAGGAATAGAGAGGAGGTGAGTAGATAATTTGTGCATTTGCGAAGATCCTACGTATCAAATCTGACATACCGCCTCCCAAAGAGTTGCTAAACTCTTTAGTAGATTCTAGGGTATAAATTAGTTAAAGTAGCCTAAGTCTAATTAAGTCAAGAGTTATATGCATGCTGTACCGTAAGATTGAATACAAACTAAACTATATCTAAGTATAAATTTTTAAGGATGATTTTTGAAGTTAATTTTGTTGCTTTGTGTCGCATTTGGGTAATGGACACACCTTAGTGATCGATCTGGTGCAGAACCCGTTACTGGTTTTTATCTCGACTACGCGTACCACACCGTCAGAGCCGGGATGGAGAGCGGATATTCGACCTTTACGCCATCTAAGGGGTGAGGTGTTCTCTTCTCTGATCAAAACTAGATCGCCCAATTGAAGATTGGGGGTATGTTTGCACCACTTAGAGCGCTGCTGTAAGTTGTGAAGATATTCGCTCTGCCATCTTCGCCAGAACTGTTGTGAAATTTGTTGTACAAGTTTCCAACGCCTCAACGGTGAGATGTGTTTGTCATCGACGGTATCCTCGGGGAGGCTAACCATTGGCTGACCAATAAGGAAATGACCGGGTGTAAGCGTGTCAAGATTAGATGTGTCGTCTGTCAATGGACATAACGGCCTAGAGTTAAGAACTGCCTCAGCCCTAGCGAACACTGTGCACAGTTCTTCGAAAGTGAGCACCTGCTCTCCTACCGTTCGAAGCAGCAATTGCTTAGCTGACTTTACCGTCGACTCCCACAGCCCACCCATATGTGGAGCGTAAGGAGGATTCATATGCCATCTGACACCGAATTTAGTTAATTTATCCCTAACTTGTTGTCTGTCAAGGTAGTTAGCGGCCCCTTGGAAGTTTTTACCACAGTCAGAGTAAACATCCGACGGCATTCCCCTTTTCGCAACAAACCTATGAAAAGAAGCCAGAAATGCTTCGGTTGTTAAATCTGAAGTCACTTCGAGGTGTACCGCCTTTACGGCGAGACAAATGTAGACACAAAGGTACGCTTTGAGTGTCTTTACCTTCCGCATGGTGGAAGTCTTTATTATAAAGGGACCCGCAAAATCGACCCCCACACGAGTGAATGGATGACTTAGTTGCACCCGACTAGACGGAAGATTGCCCATAAAGGGTTCCAGAGGTTTCGTCTTGAGCCTGTGACAACGATAGCACTTGAAGACCACACGGCGTACGACTTGTCGAGCAGCTAAAATCCAGAATTTCTGGCGTAGAATGTTAACAAGTATGGAGGGACCAGCATGGACATATGTCAGATGATAGTGGTTAATTATCAGGATAGTCAAGTGATGCGCTTTTGGAAGCAACAATGGATGTTTGACATCGTAAGGTAAGTTGGAGTGCCTGAGTCTTCCACCAACGCGAAGAAGACCATTTGCATCAATGAAGGGATCGAGACGCCGAAGCGGACATGACAAGGATCGGCCTTTATTGATGGCTGAAATTTGGTCGGCGAAGACTTCACTCTGCACCAATTTGACAAGAGTTTTGAGAGAATTGTTGAGTTCATGAACCTTAAGAGCTCCTGCGGACCTAACGCCGCCTGGTCGAGCGTTGTGGTAAAAACGTAGGAGCCATGCAACTAAACGTTGCAACGGTGGTAAAGAACTGTAGCTTGTGATGAGTGAGTGCATGAAGGAAACCTCGGCTGCAGCTACCATTGAAGAGACAGCGTCGTGTTTGAGACCAGGCAATGCTTCCGTTTCGACGCATGGGGTTGTGGGCCAGGTGGATGCATCAGCCCTTAACCAAAAGGGAGACCACCACAACGGGTGACCCACAAGGCTCTCGGCAGTAATGCCCCTACTCGCGCAATCCGCGGGATTGGACGCGGAGGGTACATATCGCCACCCAGCGGATGGTATTAGGCCTTGGACCTGGGAAACACGATTTCCCTCAAAGGTCTGCAGCTTATGCGGTGGAGTGCGCAACCACGCAAGCACGATGGTAGAGTCGCACCAAGCAGTGGCACCACTTAAGTTGATTTTGCCTTGTAAAAGGCTCATATAGTGACCAATCAGTCGAGCAAGGAGCACGGCCCCGCAGAGCTCGAGACGTGGAATGGTCAGCTTTTGACGTAAAGGAGCTACTCTTGACCGGCCACGAAGCAGATGAACGCTGACTTCGCCGGAAGAGTGCTGAACTCGAAGGTATATAACGGCGGCGTAACCGTTTTCAGACGCATCGCAGAATCCCATAATCTCGCATATGTATGCGTTTGTGCTGAGTATGAATCTGGGTATTTGTGGCAGTTTAAGGAGTTTGAAAGTCTCTGCGAATGAATCCCAGAGCTTAATGATCTCGTCTGGCAGTTGATCGTCCCAGGAAATATCTAGGGTGCAGACTCGCTGCATTAAGACCTTAGCAAAAAAGGTAACAGGCGCTAAGTAACCGCACGGGTCGTAGATACGAGCGATGTTGGAAAGAATTTCGCGTTTGGTACGGCACGTACCTAGATTTGAGACCTGATAAACGAAACTATCCGATGCGGAGTTCCACTCTACTCCCAGTATCTTAAAAATGTTATCTCCTGACTCTTCTCTAAATGTTTCTTAAGGTTTCTCTAAATGGTCGGCTGGATAAGTTTCTAAAACTTCAGCGCTGTTACTGGCCCATTTACGCAACTGGAAACCACCTTGAGCTAATACATCCACCAACTGTTGTTGAAGTATCTTGGCAGATGGAACGTCGTCGGCACCTGTGATGACGTCATCGACAAAGGTGTCGCGTTGAAGCGCTTCGGCAGCAGCAGGATACTGTTCCGCGTTGAGCGAAGCTAGTTCGTGTACGACGCGCATAGCTAGATAAGCCGCGGAGGAGACACCATATGTCACTGTCGTCAGCTCGAACTGTTGTATGGGCTGATCAGGGGACTCACGCCAGAAGATGGTCTGGAATTTGCAATCGTCGTCATGTAGCTTAACCTGACGATACATTTGTTTGATGTCGCAGGTGAACACAATGGCGTGAGTTCTGAAACGCAGAATGATGTCCTCGACGTGCTGCTGTAGCTTTGGACCTGCCATCAGTAGCTGGTTGAGTGAGACACCGGAGCTACCAGGCGCGGAGGCGTCGAATACCGCTCGAAGTTTGGTGGTGCTACTGCTATCTTTAAGCACACCATGATGGGGTATGTAGTATCTATTCGAAGATATGTTGGGAGAAATTGGTCGCATGTGACCTGCGTTAAGATAATCTCTCATGAACTCTATGTAGAGTTCCTTAAGACGACTGTCTTTGCTAAGTTTCCGCTCTAAACCACAAAACCGCTTAAGAGCGCTATCAAATGTTGAACCTAGAGGCACATATCCAGGTTTGAATGGTAAGCGTACGATAAACCTACCGAAAGAGTCGCGAGAGTGGGTCTCTACAAAATGCTTTTCGCAAAGCAGATCTTCTGGATCCTGTATGGCTTTCGTTGGAACCTCCTCTACTTCCCAGAACTTTGTAAGAATGGAATTGAGGTCAACGGTACAGGACATAGATACAGCTTGATGCGAACCGTAAGATTTCGATGGAGCTCTACCCATCAGAACCCAGCCGAAAATAGATGAGTATGCGGAAGGAAATCCGTCGCCTAAAGAAAATTTGCGGCCATTGAAAATTTGTTCATAGATTTCTACACCTAGGAGCATGTCTATGGGTCCGGGCACCGAGAACTTATCATCAGCCAGCCTAAGATCTCTACACCTGCCGACCACTTCTGGAGCCAGTTGAGTACTAGGAAGATTGCCAGTAATCTGCTTAAGAATAACTGCAGTGGTTACCAACGGGGTACTGCATGGATCCATTAACGAATGGATGGCACATTGAACGCTACCATTGGTGCGTTGTCCACTAGTTTCTCCTAGTCCAAAGAGTACAGAAGGGCAGGAGCGAGGCAATTGTAGTTTCCGTGCTAATGTTTCTGTGATTATGGTGACCTGTGAACCGCTATCTATGAGAGCTCGAACTTTAATAATAGAATTATTGGCGTCTCTAACTCCAACCACAGCCGTGCCCAATAGTACAGTAGATCCACCGTGGATGCTATGAACATGGGGCGGTTGTATTGTAGAGCTTAAAGTGGATACAACGGGCTCTGGCTGGGCAGTTGATCTTTGAATAGTATGAGAATTGTTCTCTAAGTGTAGCTTAGTATGATGACGGCCATGACAAATTTGACAACTACTTTTAGATTTACATTGGCTTACATGATGTGAGCGCAGGCAATTAAAACATAATTTGTTATCAATGACAAACTGTTTACGGTCAGCTGGTGTCATCGAGTTGAATTTCTCACAAGAGTAGATGATATGTTCACCTTGACAATATGAACAAGTGTATGGAAGTTTGATAACAAAAGATTTTGACGATGTGTGAGGTTGAGCCGTAATGTGGCTGCTTGAATGAGAAGTTGATGATTTGGATCCCATGACAGCTTCCGACGCTTTAAGCTGAGTTTTCAAAAATTCAAGTAATTCATCAAAAGTTGGAATGTCATTAGTTGATTCCCGTTGGTGATCCAACTCAAACTTACTCCGTAAATCTGTAGGGAGTTTGCGTAAAATAATGTGTAATAAGATAAAACTCCAAGAATCCGTGTCAAATCCTAGTACCGATAATGCTTGAATATTTTCATTGAGTGTGTTTACAAGTTTCCTTAAGTTAGCGTTAAGTTGATTTTGATTTATGTGTATATTTAATATAGCTTCTAAATGTTTGTCTGCAATTAATCTTTTATTCTGATATCTCTCTGTTAATAAATCATAAGCGACAGAATAATTACCATCTGAAAGTTCCAAATGTCTAATTAAATTTAAAGGCTCCTTATCTAATGTTGACAATAGGTAATGCATCTTTTGTACACTGGGTAGCTCACGGTTATCATGCACTAAACTATTGAACATTGCTATGTAGTTAGGCCATTCTGTGTAAACACCAGAAAACTTAGGTAATGTTATTTTGGGTAAAACAAAGTGTGTAGGTTTTTGTACCTGTGTTTGTGTTTCATTTAATGTCTGTGACGGTGTATTGAGTTGAGAAATCAAATCACCTAATATTTGAACGGAATAGTACTTATCGTAAAAACTGGTATATTGTTTGTCTAATTCTATTTTGAAGTTTTCATCAGAAGACTTTGACAATAAAAAGGAGTATGCTTCTTCGAAATTGCCGCGGTAACCGTCTATATCACGATAACGGACCTTAAATGACGCTAACAAACCGGGATCTTTATCAGATTGAGCACTCATTTGATTTGCAAGACGATATAACGAATCCATGAATTTGTCGTTTGCATTCAATTTTATTGTGTACAATGCATGCTTTGAAGTGTCATCCGAAACAGTGTGTTTAACTTTGCTGGATGCCATAATATGATTTCACTTTAAAAGATTAGTTTAAATAAGTTTTCACGAAAATGAGGTTATGATGTGAACTCGTTTACAAATAAATGTCACTTGTCATAGAGTACTGGAAAGAATGAAATGTCCAAGTCACAGACAAAAAAAAAATTTCTATGTTGAATTATTGAACGGAATGAATTGACGATGATTGTCAATTACACCAAAGATTAATGTTACCAGAGACAATGTCACAAAATGAACGTTTCAACTTGCGTAAAATATGAAAATGAGAATTATCTACCGCCAAATGTAGAAAAATAATTTGAGGACGAAAATGTTTGATAAAAATGTAGATTTGCACAAATGATTACGTGAATGGATTTTGATCAGAGATAATGCGGATAGGATGGATGAGACAGGACTCAAAGGATCAAGGTATTTGGCTCAAAGAACCACGCTATTCGGCTCAAAGAACCACGCTATTCGGCTCAAAGAACCACGCTTTTCGGCTCAAAGAATCACGCTATCCGGCTCGAAGGACCATGCTATGACGGGGCCAAAATGGGGTAGGGTGAACGCACTGACTGACCTTGAGTTGTTCCTCGATAGATGTGTCGGTCGCTGGTGTTTACGCGTATGCCCAGGTGTTAAGGGGTTGTCTCGCCGCCCACTCTGGTCTCTCACAGACAGATGAGATGCTAAGATGATTTTCCGTATTGCTGATTTTCCGTACTGCCGTTGGACAACTGCTACGGTGATATCGCGTCAAAAGCGACCGTTCGCTAGCGCGGCGTAGTTGCAACAGGGCCCGTCAAAACGGGGAATATCCTACCCTCAAATCAGTGCGTTTTTTAGGATAGGAATAGAGAGGAGGTGAGTAGATAATTTGTGCATTTGCGAAGATCCTACGTATCAAATCTGACAATAGTATTTTTTCTTATTAATTCCAGAAAGTTATAGTGCGCCTCACGTAAATTATTTTACAACACAACCCGATTAAATCTTGTGAGAGAAGTAGAAAATCTGTCCATGGCTACAAGAGTGTCATTCAATAATAAAAGAAAGGAATTATGATTTTTTTTTCATTAAAATATAAGTGCGCATTTGACCTCCATCTCACCTGATGGAAAGTGACGATGAGGTCGACGATGGAGCATGCAAACCTAAATAATGCCTATTCACTCTCGCCTTGAAAAGGCCCAAGTTATAACGTTCAGGGAACAAGTCTGCAGGCAGGGACTTCCACTCCATAGCCGTTCGCCATATAAATGTGGAAGCATAACGCTTCGTATGAATCTTTGGAATATCCACAACATAGGGGTGGAACCCAAGCCTACGCCTAGTCCCCCGGCGATGGAAAGGGGAAAGCTGAATTAAATCGTGTAATTCAATCGCACACTCTACGTGATATATCCTATAAAATACCGATAAGCAGGCAACTTTATGGCGGTGTTCAAGGCTCTGCAGCTTCGCCTCCACTAATTCCGAGTCATCTATAAGCCTCTTGGCACGGTTGTCAATTGAATCCAAAGTGGCCAGTATGTAGCAGAGCCATACCAAAGGTGGCAGCAGTACTCCAAGCACGACCGGACTTGCGCTTGGTACAGCCACAGCGGAAGCAACTATACTGGTGTAAAGTAACGCCTCACCCTGGAAAGGATGCCAAGCTTCTTTGTTGCATTTTTGGCCATGGATTCAATGTATATGACGAAGTTCAAATTGGACGACAGGTCCATTCCAAGTAGCTGGAGACAGTCGGCTATCGGTATGGATATATTACGAAAAGTCGGAGTCAGATCATAGGGACTCCGTTTTGTGGAGAATAGACACGCCTGCATTTTGGTAGCGTTAAATTTGACCAGATTGTCATCGCCCCAATCGGAGACTGCCTTGAGCGTCTAATGCAAACGGCTAACCATGGACTCTCGACAAGACTGTATTTCCTCTGCACTAACCCTCGCATTGGTCAAGTACCTATCTACAACTGTGCTGTCATCAGCATACGCAAAGGTACCTGGAATTAACATATCATTGACATGCAGTAGAAAGAGAGTTGCA